TTTATAACTTTAGAAATTTCCTTAATAATTATTATTACGAAGAAGTCAAAGCGATTAACAAAATTTATGCCTATACGAATCAGGAATAACCAAAATTCAAGTTACTGTCTCATACTCTTTCGGAAAAAAACTCGGTTATTATCAGAATTCCATATAGTACAAGTGTGATCTTGACCATGCTTCATCCACATGGAGCACTTATGAATTAGCAGTAGCTAATCCAGGATTTAATTTTGGGTGGGGCTTCAGCCGAAAGCTTTTTTTAAATATATATATAACTATTATTACTTCCTAAGAAAATGCGAATATTAAATGGTGTTTAAGTGATTCTTGAAGTCCTATTAAATGTAATTACATGAACAATATACTCTTAGAGAAAGTTTTATCACTTATTTTTTTGTTTTTTAATAAAACATGTTTAAAATTTACCATTTTTTTGTAGGGGAGGGGGAGGCTTTAGCCCAAAAGCTCCCTTCCCTCACAGGTATGCCTGTGTGAATTAGTACAAATTCAACAAATTAGGCCTCTTAATGCATAAGTTATTTTTCCAGTGTTTTGTAAAGTACAGAATAGAACAAGGAAAAACTTGTGCACATAATCATGCTTACTACTCATATTGCAAGTTTTTTGAACACTTATTTTTTCATGCAAAAATGTTTGAATGCCAATGTACCAATCTAGAAAATATTCAGGATGGTAATGAAAAATAAAACAAAGAATTATTTTAATTAACTCAACTGCATACATGTCGAAGTATAGATATATATTATACAGGGAGTTTCAGGATGAAGTGGCAAAATGCAAAAATGGACTAAGGACCTCAATACAAGAAAAAAATTTCCTCTAAAGGTATGTCCAGAAAGATTTGTTTAGGAGATATTCACACCTAAAGATTTTCGTTGTTATGAATTATTTACATTATAAAATAAATAAAACCTATTTATTTTTTCTAACTACTTTATTAATTACATGTAATCATTAACATTCATATTAAATGTTGTTCAAAGTGAAGGTATGTCTGCAAATGCTTCGTCGTTCAGGAGATGGATTAGATAGAATACTAATATGGCCTTTTATCACTAACTGTATAAAAACTATTGGCAACATAAGGATTAATACTATTTGGAATTAGCATTGGCAACTCTCAATAACATTTATCATTGAAAGAAGTTAGTCAACTGTCCTACATATCATGGGTGATAAATCTTCAGGACGCAGTCATTATAAGGTTTTTATTAGTGCCACCATTTCAACCCAAACATGTGGGTCATCATCAGGGCGTGGTACAAGTATTCACTCCAGTACTTGAATGTCTTCAGTGCTCGAACCACACTCTGATGATGACCCACATGTTTGGGCTGAAATGTCGGCACTAATAAAAACCTTATGACTGCGTCCTGAATATTTATCATCCATAATAATAGTCATCAGTTTATAAGAGGCTTTCGCATAGTACTCATCATTACGCCTTTCATTTATACTAATGTTGAATAAGCCGATACAGTGTTTGTATACGGTTTTTCCAAAGGTAATGCTAATGCTGCCCATCGTGAATATGCCAGGCCATTACCATAAAAGATTACCAAACAAGTCTATCTTTAGCTCCATGTTTCAACATCTTAGAGAAATTGGTACATTTGCTATAATACCACGTGCTGATGATATTTTTGGCTTGCATGCTCTCCAGACCTGACACCATTGGATTTTTTTGTTTGACATTAAACAAAAAGTCTATACAAGTCCGGTCAATGTCCTTAATTCCGTACGAAGAAGGATAATTGAATCTTGTGAAAGAATAACACATATCCAGTGCGGTTCTATCACTGCTGCTGTTGAAGAAAGATCACGAGCCTGTCTTAATGCTCAAGAAAATCACTTTGAACAACATTTAATATGAATGTTAATGTTTACATTTATTTCATGTAGCGTAAATAATTTATAACAACAAAAATCTTTAGGTGTGAATATCTCCTAAACAAAGCGTTTGCGGACATACCTTCAGAGGAATTTTTTTTCTTGTTTTGAGATCCTTAGTTCATTTTTGCAGTTTGGCCACTTAATCCTGAAAAACCCTATATATATATATATATATATATATATATATATATATATATATATATATATATATATATATATATATATATATATATATATATATATATATAACTTCCTCAAACTTTTTTCTTATTACCATATTTTGTTGTTTGTTATCTTTGTCTGTTGTTTCAAACCTTTGCCTGTTGTATACTCCAATTCAATGCTGCACCAAACCACTTACAAAACAGCTCATGATAGTTTACCTTTCTATCCGATACATATTACATGTGGTTGCAGCTTCACAAAATAATTCCGTCCTGGTCATGAAGAAAAGATAGCAGTGGAGGGAATGTGCTAGTCTTAGACAAGTCAAACAGTTAATTAAAAACCCTTTTTCTTCTAGAACCAAGTGCGAGGCCTAAACAAAACAGCAATGAACCCCAATTAATTATTGGAGTACTCATAGTCCATCACAGACTCAAAAAATATTTAAAGATTTCCGGAGTAGTACTAGATGAAACATGCCATCTGGGCAGAAAAGTACCAGAAACAGCCCTACAATATAAAGTAGAATGTGTCACTTAGATACAGTATTCTAGAGTCAAGTAAAATCTTAGAACAGAAGATTGCTCCATTGTATGGTCTTTCCTTTAACATTTTATGAACTTATGAAAACTAAAAAGTTTGACATGGTCCATTTTCCTACCAGTTTAAGATATAGATTACGGATGAAAGTAAATTTTAAGTATTTAGGAAGCTGGGTGAACATCAGACATAGACAATGAAAAGAGCATGAGCAATGGGAAAATAATCAGGACCTTAAATTCAGTTCAGTGAAGTAAATTAGTGTCCTTAAAAACAAAAAAAAAATGATTTAAAAATCGTTCCTGGAAAGTGTGACTCTCTATTCAGCCTAATTGTGGACAACTAAAGAGAGTCAATCAAAAAGAGTGCTACCCTTAGAAATGGACTATTGGAGGCGATCATGTGGTGTGTCCCGTCCCGCCTTCAAAAAGTTCCAAACAATGAAATAACGAAACGAACAACAAATGAAATGGAACAAATGAAGAACATCCTCCATACTATTAAAACTATGCGGCTGAAGTGGTATGGGCATGTGATGAGAATGGAAGAGGGACAATGGCCCAAGAGAATAGGAAATTGGAAACCGGAAAGAAGACAGAAGAAAGGTCGCCCGTGGAATACCTGGTATGAGGGAGTTAAGGAAGAGAAGATAAGATGAACAGAGGTATGTGTAAAGAAGATTGGTAGGATAGAAGAAGATGGAAAAGACTTATTTTTGGTGACGACAAAAGTCATTAAATAAAAAAAAACAGACGTAAATATAAGAATAACACTTGTTACACACCAATCAAAAATTTGAGATATGAGCCTTTCAATCGATATAATGACTAACTCCAATTCCAACATATTTTATTATTAATTTTATTGATATTCCTAGTGAGAAAATACATACTTTTATACACAGTTCTATATTTAAATACTGCAATCACCTACTCTGGAATCAACTTACTCACTCTCCACACAAAAATTATATATTTTCCAACTAGAAATATCAATTAATGACTTAATTCAAAAATGTTGAAATTGGAGTTAGTCATTCTGTCAACTGAAAGGCTGATATGCAATGCATGTTATCAACTTGCTTCTCCCCTCCCAATCACTAATATAACCAAGAAGAGATAATTCTTTTCTAAAACAACTGAATAACTTATATGTATTACTAAACACATAAACTACAATGTATAATTAAAAATTCGCTCGGATAAAAGAATTATTAATTATTGAATATTAACCAAACCCTAAGCCACAGGACCCATTTTCTAATAAAACCAGAAGTTATAACAAACGGCAGTAACATCATTGTGGATTATGGAACACTTCGGTACAGGTAAGAAAGAAGAAGCTAATGTCTCAGTAAAATTGGCTTAAAAACATATTAGCAATAAACTGAATATACATATTCAGTTAAAATAACTAATATTAATAATGCTAAAACATTATGATTGATTAAATAAACTTTATTTAGAGACTCTCCTTACTAAAATAAATTTCTTTAAACAATTTATATAACTCTATATTGTAAATGGAATTAACAAAAATAGTTGCATACAAAAATAATTAAGATGTTAAAAAGTAACATTAGCAATAAGCAATGCAATACATGGGTTAGCAAGCTTATGATTTCATATATTATTTGATTTTCTCAAACATGGATGGAATATTTGACTAACAATTAGTTTTATTAACACAATTATGAAGCTACATTAACATGCCAAAGCAAATAACATTTAGGAATATAATATCATAATCAGGTTAGTAAAGTAATAAGTCCCATTTAATTTATAATTACCACCAATCTTAAGAAAATATTATTTCACGCAATCATTGAATTAGTAATAGGTTAAATTAATTTTAATACAAATATAAGGCAATGAGTAAAATTGACTAGGATTTTAGTAAAAATAAAGACTACACAGAAGGAAAGCGGTCAACCATATTTTGACTGGGCACAACATCGCATTGATCACACTGAAGAAGGGATTTCAAACGTATATAGAAGCCACAGTTCCCATTAAATCAGAATTTTTGATAATTATTAAGACAAGAAGGAATTGATAAGGGTTAGTTTAGTTCTTGAGAAAGTGGATGTCTGACAGCCTTCAAATCTAATTAAATCATTTATAAATATAATTACAACTAATTCTTCCATGAAAAGCAACTAAAGCTGTTGTCCGTATTTTTTATTAGTTTTGGTTAAAATATACACTGTAATATTTCTTTCCTTTTTTTAATACAAACAAATTTTGGACACACTTAGCTACTTTGCCATTTCATCAACAGTAGGATTAATGTAATCTTGTTCTCAGCCACAATATAATTGACCGTTTTACATCAAAGTACTCAATAAAGAATCATAAATAAGGAATCATCCTATGAACCTTTATATGCGTATTCCAAGGCACAAGTGACAGTTTTCATGTCATTTTCAATCATCTGTGCCCAATTTTCAACATCACCAATTTCTTTAAGAGCACTACTGAATCCTTCGACAAGACTTAACCACTGTTGTGTATTCTTTGCAAAATTTGTGGCATTTTGATGAAGTTGCTTTGCTTCAGCGTCGAGGCGTTTTTGGTTGAGATAGGCTTGAGCAACTCTAGAAACAAGAAAGAAGTTAAAATGAAAGATTGATGACACACGCTACAATACAATATACTTTTCATCTTACCCAACATTCAAATGATCCACTAATGCTTGTGTTAAGTCACTGGCAGCTGCAATTGCTTCCTTTCGTTTTTCTTCTACAATGATGGAACAAATTTAAAAATGCAAAATTTAAAAAAAAGGATAAGTGTGAAAAATGAAATAATTATTTACCCTGAGTTTCTTTTCTAGCAAGCTGATTGGCATGGTGCTCTTTCAACAAAGACGTGAGCATTATAATATGTAGAAATCCTAATTTACAGCAATATAAAGTTCAATATTCCTTAACACAACTACTTTGACACCTCAAATCCCAATGAAAACAAAAATTGTCAATATTTTAGCCATTCAACACTTACTCTGTTTAAGAGCTTTCTTTAATGAGTCATTCTATTCATCATATACCTCTTTGTACATTAGGAAGATCATAGTGTTTTTAATCTTTTGAAGGCTTCACATCTTTTTATTTACTTTTTAATTTTGGTTAATCTAAGTGAAAAATTACAAAATCGTTTATTTATTAATTAATTTAGGTGGGAGTTATACGAGTGTATTGGAACACTACCATTACACTCTTCGTAACTCGCCGAATGCTAATGTTTTAGCGAAAAACAATTATAAGATTATACAATATTTATTCCATTGCTTATTTTTCGTCTGTACAGTTTTTTTTCTCGAATCAGAGGAGTAGAAGGGGGATTGGTGCCAGAGTTAAATACTATCGGCACCGGGAATCGAACTCGTAATCTCAGGTTATTATGTTTCTAGGCAATGATTGTATTGTAACGCGTTAACCGGCTCGGTCACCCCACCCCCAGTGATCAGTAGTTAATATAGTGTCAGAGGTAATCTCTAATCCTGATAGTTATGAGAGAGGTGTCCGTCTCTTAATTTAGATGACGCAGTCCTCGCTACCCAAGAAATGTTTTATGATATTGCCCAAGAAAAAAGAAACCTCTCCATTTCGTAAAAACAGTCTAAGGGAAATATAATTTAACCTTTAGCCAAGCTTCATTGAAACCGGTACATTCGTTTAGGCGCTACAGTCTATAGCAACGCAAGTTTTTCGGCCGTCATCTTAAAAGGAAAAGGCGGATTATTCTTTAAATCCAAATTGAAAAAAATCGGTCTAGTAGTTTCGGAGAAAATACGCAGACAGACAAAAAAAATTTATTCGTTTTTCGAATTCTACGTATCCTGAAACATAAAATCTCAAATTTTGAGAGAGGGCTAAGTTTTTTAATTTTTTGTTCGATTACAATGGCTCATTATTGAAAATATTAAATCTAGAATTGTAGACCATCTACAACTACACTTACAGTAATTACATGTTTTCCATTTGTTCCCTGGTTGAAAGTTCCTACAATAATTGGAACCTTATAAAAATGTGATTCCCTCAGAAAATTCACAATAATGTGTCACCTGAAATATTAAAAAACACAGGAAAAATAATACAATTATTAAAGAATTTTGTAAAAATAATTGTTTTAGTTCATGTTATTTTTCGGCGGATTTACGGGAGAGGGGAAGAGTTTTCGGGCTGGAGCCTCCCTTCTCCCCTCTCCAAAAATGATAGAAATATAATTTTTTAAGTGAAAACTTCTTTAGGCTTACTTAGCACTTTTTTATTCTTTACTCACATATTTATTTCTCCGAGAAATCAGAGCTACATACTTAAACAATAATAATATATACTATTTTTTAATTATTATGGATATATAAATTTTACCTGTATGAAATATTTAAAAAAATAACTCTTAAAGCATAATTGTTCCTGTAGTTAATTTTTTTTGGACCACTTAAACATTATTTTATATAGTTTCTTTCTTTTTCCTCTAGAGTAATTATCGTTTAAACAAAAAAAAAACGCCCCTCCACCACAAAAAAAAAATTAATTCTTGTATCCGCAACTGTTAAGTAGTATTAATTTTCGTTTTTATAATATCTTAATACATTATTGTTATTTCATAATATCTTAATATGTTATATTATTATTATTTATATATATTATTGACCACGGGCGGATCTACGGGAGGGGGGGGGGAGCTTTCGGGCTGAAGCCTCCCCCCAAAATGGAAAAATATAACCATGTTTTATGGGGAAAAAATTGAAAAAATACCTCTTAAAGTATTATTGTTCGTGTAATTACATTTAAAAGTACTTAAGGAATAACCATTTCATACAGGTAGTTAGTTTTTTTCTGTTTTTCCAAAGTAATTATCGTTATTTTTATGAAAAAAAAGGTTTCGGGCTGAAGCCCCCCCCCCAAAATTAAATCCTGGATCAGCTAGTATTATTGACAATACATAAATATTGAGTGGAAGGGGGGCCGCTATATTCTTGTGTCTGAGCTAAGTTAAAGGCGGCACTGTTTCTATTGGTTTCGATTAGTGCATTTCCATTTTAATTTATTTTTGCAGTTTATTAATTTTTAAAAATTTTCATTAAGAATATTGAAACAAATGTAAAGCAAGTTTGTCAAATGTTTTAGTAAAATTGGGAGGAAACTTCGAAGTATTTAATATATATTTTATACTTGCTCAATTGGTGTTTAGATAATAAATATTACTTTTTAATTTATTAAAATTTATTACGTTTATTTGTAAAATTATTTTATGGGTTTTAGATGTTACAAACAAGAATTGTTGATTGGCGTAGGCCCTACCCCCTAAAATAATTTGATATTTTCTGACAATATTAGAACTTATCTAGATGTTTATTTAAAGATAAAATTTTTTAGCTATTTTATTATTATTTGGAAATTTTATTTATATAAATTAATTAACTATTTCGGTATCAATAGTGAAAAGGCGCCTAATACAGAACAAGTACAGAAGGCGGGAACCTAATTTTTTCTTAGTGCAAAAAATTGCAATAGCGTCGGTCGGTAATTTTTAATTTTTTTTATTTTATATTAAACATTTTTTTTTGCTAAGACTTCTTGTTAATGTGTTAAATATATTATGAAAGTGTTTATTGATATTTGTGTTATTTAATAATAAGATTTTTTTTTACGATTCGGTTAATAAATAAGTGTTAAAACATCATGCAAAAGTAAGGGACACACAGCAAGAGGTACTTTAATGATTATTATATTTGCATTTTATTATACTAAACAATTTTTACTATTAGATGTTATATTCACCCAAAGAATGAAAAACTTTTATATTAGATTATTGGAAATTAAAGTTTTATAAAAATATAGTAACTATGAGGACGGCACGGCTGACGCCTGGTTCACAATCACTTCAGTCACACTTGTTCTTAAAACCTGAGAGGGTCTGGCTTAAACAGGGATGCATTCTGCACTCCATGAACAAGTGTGATCGAAGTGATTGTGAACCATGGGTAACCCGTGCGGTCCTCATACAAATAATTAATAATAATGATATTGTTGTAAATTTTAGCATTTATATAACTTATTTTTATTTTTTTAATAAATTCTTTTCTATACTGCAGGATCGAGATACATGCAGAGACCTTGAATTTGGCGACTGATCTCTCATAGATTTCACCAGCTTCAATAATTGAAGCTCCAAGTATGTGGAACTATATATTAGTACATACTATGGTGCCAGGCTCAAACAGTACAATGTTAACTTTTAATTTTTTTTTTTAATATTTGATAATCATTGAATAAAACCTTTTATAATTAAATTAAATTTATTGGATTACAAGTTAGTTATAAATCATAATGAACAGTAAATATGTATATAATGTCGATTTATTGCAAAAAAAATATTTAAAACTTATACTAAACCACTAAGTACTTATCTCTGTGAAATTAGAGTATTATGTACCTTTTTTTTTTTTTTTTCTTTAATCAGCCTAAGACTTCCACAGAAGTCCTATACTGCCCCTATTGTTTTATTAAAATATAATGTAAATATAGATGTACATTATTATTTTTTATTTATTTATTTTTAAAAATCCATTTTAGATTCTTCAATAAATTTGCACAATGACTTAATGGTATATGTATCTAGATCAGTTGTTTTAGATGAGGGGGTATTTCTTCCCGGCATTTATGATATCTTTTGCATTTTAAAATAATATGCAATGGGTTACATGATGGAGTTACATGTCGAACATTTATAATTTTTTTCAACTTTAATATTATGTACTTAGTGTTACTACATTTGATATATTAGAAGATGTGTAATTTTTATTAAATTACAGTGTTTTTGTATGGACAAATAAGATAGAAATTCAAATAAGCTTTCATAATTCAAAGTTTAGTTCCATCCAAAATGTACTTAAAGATTTAAAAGAGACTATGTATATATATATATATATATATATATATATATATATATATATATATATATATATATACACACACACTCACATACACATACACAGGGTATTTCAATTCTTAATGGCCAAACTCTGGGGTGTAATTATAAATAAAATTTTCAGCAAAAAAATTCATTTAATGCATGGGCTGATTCCGAATGAAAAAGGAGTTAATACCAATTTTTCTGAAGATAATCATGATTTTTACTGAATAAGAATGAATTCCTCAAAAACTGTTCAAGATAATTAAATTCTAAGTACACCGTCGTAAAGTAGACCAATTTTTTATACAGGAGCAGTATATCTCTGTACAGTGGCCTTGTTAGACCTCCTGAAAGTCCCTTTTATCATTGAACTTAGTAAATATAATCTGTATTTCTCAAAAACATATTATCTACTTTACGATAGTGTACTTAGAATTTAATTATTTTGAACAGTTTGCAAGTAATTCATTCTTATTCAGTAAAAACAGTGACTATCCTAAGAAAAACACAAAATTGGTCTTAATTCTTTTTCCATTTGGAATCGGCCCATGCATTTAATAAACCTTTTTTGTGAGAAATTTTATCTAGAATCGCCCTTCATAGTTTGACAATTAATAATTGAGATACCCTTAATAAATATACACACACACATATGTATACAGTCATTTATATATTTTAAAATGATCAAGGTATAAAACACCATGATATTTCGTCATTTTTTATGAATAAAAAAAACTATTTATTTGAATACATTATTTTATTCTTGATATGTACTATGTTGTTACAATAGTAAAATTACTAGTTTACATTATAATGTGATGTAGATTTTATTTTTTTGGCATTACCGACCTTGTTGATCTTTTGCTGCTTAATCAGCCTTCTTCATCTCTGCCTATCTTGGGCTATTTCTTTCCAGTTATCAAAATGCAGCTCTGTGCTGTATATTCTAAACAGTACATCTTAAACATATATTTAAAAAAAAAAATATTATCCTAAAATGTTTTATTTTTGGAATAGATTAAATTTAAGTTTTTTATTTTTGCAACAGTATTTCTGAAACTTATTCTCATTTCCTTCAAAACATCATTTTTTTCGAATTTAATATTTTATATATAAAAAAAAAACAAACATTGTTAACCATTAGTTGAAAATGTTACTTAAAAGGCCAGTAACAGGATTTAATTTTAATTTTTTGTTGGAGGGAGGGGCTTTTTTTTCTCTTTTTTTATAATGGTAATTACTCTTGAAGATAATAAAGAAATATATATATGAATGATAGGGTCTTTTTTACTTAAGTATCACCAGTTACTTTTTTGTCACTTATTTATAACTGTTACAGCAAAGTCAAATATAGATGATTTAATAAATATTTACAATTATTATGAGGTTTATAATCTACATATAAACTTAATGTTATATTGATAGTGTGAAATTTAAAAAAATTAATTTCTTAAATTTAAATAACATTCTTTCACCACAAATGAAGGGCATCAAAATGATAACGAAGAAAGAAATATTACACAGAAGAAGGAAATTTTCTCGAAGACATTCCATGAACTATTACAGGCAATGAGAAACTTTTTGCCTCCTGAAGATTAATATTGTTAAATATTAGAATATTTGCTATTTTCAAAGTTAACCTTGTACTTATCTATTGTTTAATATTAATTTTCAACTAAACATTTATTCTTGTATGATTTCTAAATAATAACTGTTATTGTACTAAAAGTAACTGTTTCTAAAAGTGATTGGCGATACATACTTAAAAAAGACCAAAATGAAGTTTAAGTCAGTCTTAAAGGACTGTTAAAAAAAAAAAATAATACATGAAAAATAATAACATTATGTTTTATTTAATTTTCTTGACATAAGGCTTACATTTAGTAGTTTTTAATATTATAATTTTAAAAGAAAATATATCCTGCTCATTTAAATATTTCACTTAGATCAGTCATAGAAACAAAAAGACAAATGGAAAAAAAAAATCTGTATTTGGTGGTTGCCAAATGCCTCCTTTCAGCTAATAGATCCACTAGTGCATAAGACTGTTTAGATTTTTATTAATACGCTGAAAAAAAAACAACCTAAAAATTAGATCCTGGATCCATTACTGGTCTAACGTAGCATTTTCAACTAAATAAGTTAACAGTGAAGAATGTTTTTCCATCAGAGATTGAAACAGTAATTTTTTTTAAAAAACAAATTAGTTAAACTTTAACTGTTTGACAAAACTTTGATCAATAAGAAGTCAAAGGTAAAAGTTTTTCAAAACTGTTAAATAAAAGTTCCAGTTTAAAAAATGTTTCACTTTTTTTAATAGATATATAAAAAAGTATTTGTTAAACTTTTACTTCTTTCCTCTAAAATAAAAGTTATAAATACAAAAAATTACAAATTATAATAGAAGTTCACAATTATTACACCGCTCAATACTCAGAATGAAAAATTAAAAAATTCTAGTAATCCTGTATAATATTCTTAGAGAACATTATACAGTTCAAAGTTTTATTTGTTAATCAGAATTGTTTTTATTAGAAACGTCAAAGCTTAAATGTTTTTGAATTAATGTGATATATACTATCTTATTCTTGTAAATATTTGTTTTTTTTAAATGCAGAGAAAAATTATTATATTGTTTTATATAGATACGTGCTACGTAAAAGTATATTCTTTTTTTTATTAAAACCTATTCAACTAAATGGTTTATAAAGACTTTTATTAATGAGGTTTGAAAATAAAGGTTAAGAAAATAACTGTTTTGAAATGGCACATATCAATAAAAGTAAATGTTCAACAAAAACTTTAATACATTTACATATTTAGGTAAATGTTACATTTTTACTTTTAATTATAAGAGTTAAACTGTTTCATTCAACCCAACCCCACCCCCATACCAGACTGAAACGACTAGAAACCGCCTTGCGATTTCGACTGCTGCAGCACTTACTAGACAAATGCTCTAAACATCCAACTATTTACAAGAGACTCATAATATATTACTATAATAAGGCCTATTTAGACTTACGGGATCGAGCTTTGGGCCTCTACTAAACCATCAAATTCCTCCTGTATCCAAACCCTACAATCCAATATCCTTCATAAAATCCTCAATGCTCCCTACTTTGTCACAAATAAAATCATCCATAACGACCTTAATGTACCATATGTTTCCGATTTAGCTCAATCCAGATACCTATCCTTCCATAATAAACTTCTGAACCATCCGAACCTTCTTGTTTCCAACCTTGCTTCCTCTTCTGTTCCTAATAATCCTCCGAGGCATCTGAAAAGAAGATGGCCTTGGGACCTTCTGATATAGAAACATAATTAGAGTGCTACCAACAGGTAGTTTCTTTTCATGTTGTACATGTCATGTTACTTGTTTCATGTTTACTTGTATTTATCATTTAACACAGTTGTAAATTTCAATAATAAACAGATTCAACCCCTTTTTTTCACAAAATATTTTAAATTTCCAAAAAATAATATTTTGAAGAAAATGAGAATAAATTCCAGAAAATGTTTGGGAATATTTGAGGTATTTTATACTCTATTATCATAATAAAGTAAATTATAATTTTATATATAAAAACATGTTTTTAAAATTGTTTGAGCAGGCCCATAGTCACTGCCCACCTCGGAAATTGCATGATGCATGCCTTATATATTTAGTGAATTATATATAAAAGAATAATTATAAATAATTAGGAATATTATGTTCTATCATATGTGATGTAGAATTTTACTGTTTGGATGTTTAAGTTGTTATGTATACAGTTATTTGAAATATGCCAAGGTGCGTTAACAATTTTTCACAGAATATTTTATTGTGTTGTTTTGCTACGTATGTCCAAATTGGTCTAAGTATGGTTTTGTCGATCATTCGCTCGTTTCATAAGTTAAGTGAGGATCTGTAGTCCAGAAAATGTGAGAGTTGGTTACATTGTCTTGTCTTTTTAATATCGTTTGTTGGTTCCAAATAAGTCTTTCATTTAAGTAGGGTCCAAGGTACCTTATATAGTTGTTTGAAGGCAACATACATAGTTCTTTAAGTTTTATTTGGATCATCATCAAAAGTTGGTACCATAATTATCATCTAAATATAATTTTAAAATGATTGAATATATCTACTTTTTTGTTTTTCTTTGTTTATTTCACAAGTTTAAAGATAAGCAATATCAAAATTAAAGATACTCAGCATTGGCACGTTTCTAAACTCAGCGCTGAGTTTATTAACTTGTCCAATATTAATCATCCTTGGTGGGCAGTACGTACTGCATGTTGCATGCGCATGTAATTCACTTTTATATTTCTATTGCAACGGCCTCCTTTCACAACTTTTGAAATAGTTCACTTTTCACTAGTATTTTTGTAAAAATTTATTATAAAATAAATCATAGAATTCATTGCTTAAATTCAATTAATTTTCATTTTACATTAATTTGAGAATTTTAAATTCATTTAGAAGTTACATAATAATTTATTCAACTTCATTACATAGCATAAATATGTTTAGAATAATTAAAGTTTTGAGAGAAGTATATATTACAATTTTTGAATTAGTGTTTTATTTATTTATAATCAACTAAGTAAAGAAATAAAATTCAGTATTTTCATTCAATTAAATTATAACTATCAAATATTAAATTACTTTAATGTGAAAGTTGAGGCAGATCTTCAAGATCTTCAGTCAGCAGCAGCGCCCTCTTCCCATCACTCATTACATTAATTTTTTTTATAAACATTAATTAAATTTTTCATAATTTAATTTTGCAAGATTTTAATTATATTTGACTAAATATTCTTTTTCTTTTCTTAAGTAAAAATTTATGTACAATATATTTTTAAACTGTAAATTTGATTGCATAATAATATTTAAATATACAAATAGTAAATAATTCATTAGAAAATTTTGTTAGATATTTAATTCAAAATTTAAAAAATATTTGTTTGTTATGATTTCAAGTAATGTTAAAATTATCAGTTATAACACAATAGAAACATTTTAGGTGGTTGTGTGATGGGAAATAAAAAATCACGTGAGTACACATTACATGCTTTATTTTATTATATTCATATGTTTATTATGTATATCAATATTTAAATATCGATATTTTAATTTGCAATTTTAAACTTTTTATATTATTAATAAATAATAAAGTTTCTACTTACGTTCGGCAATATTTGAACAACACACTTGTCTGTATCATACACGTCTAATGACTTCATTCTGCTATTTCTCGTGTCATAAAGTTAAGGCTATTATTTTCCGTCAATATTTTATTGCTCTTTACAATATCCTATGTGAGGTTTTGGCCAGCTCTTAGGCTATTTTCAAGTTCGAAATTTGTTTTCATTATTAATTTTATATTATACATATATAACAACAATATTCATTTGCTGAATTTGTCCATCATTTATTCTTCATTTTCTATTTTTAATATTTATGTATTTTATTATTATCTTAATTAGTTTTCTCTCATTGAATCAATATTCACTATTCCTACTTTCGCTTTTCCTTAGACAAGAAAATTTTCGATATTCATATCAGGTCTCCATTTGATCTATCTATCAGCTATTTTAGAGCGTATGAAGTTTTAGCACATATGGTGATAATGAATTTTTATTATTTATATTTACTACAATAAAGCATTAGAGATTTTAGAGTATGTGTACAAGAGATCTAGAGGGCCAGAGGAAATATAGTTAGTTTTGCGTATGTGTTGTGACTCCAGCCAGCTATTTTTTAAGTTTATCAAAAATATTTTTCCTTCCCAAATAATTTTGACAATGGGATTAAATTGGTCAGAATAAGCTTTAATTAAGAATTTTTTAAAACAATTTCCTAAGCAAGTTTCTCCAGCTTTGACAAGCAGTGCGTTTATTGGTGTTGCTTTAAAGGCTTCGATACATATCCACAGGGCTAAATTTTGAGTTTATGAATTAATGGAAACTTGGTTTCTTGATAGATTATATATACTTAATTGATAATTGACTGTATTACAAATTAATATAACATCACATCATAAGAGTGTGTGCTCCATGAGACAATTTAAGATGTAAGTTTGTTTGTATCATTGTATATATTTATGATGTGATCTCTAAAATTTAGTTTATAATCTAATGCTACCCCTAAGAATTTAATTTTGTTTACAGGCTCAATGATGTAATTATTTAAAAGGATTCTGAAGTCATCTATGTTAATTTTTCTTTTTCAAGTAAAAGGGATGGATTACGCATGATTTTCATCTTAAATTTTGATTAAACGTGTTATATCAGTATAAAATTAAATGGTCTTTAATACCAGCTAGTTTTTTTTGTTTTGGCATTACAGATCTTGTTGATCTTTTGCCGCCTTCATCAGCCTTTTCTATCTCTGTAAATCCTGGGCTATTTCTTTTCAGTTGTCCGTAAGCAGCTCTTTTGCATCTTTGTTGATTCTATATATCCTTTAAATAATCTAACAGGTTTTAAATGATAATTTTTCAAAATTTCTTTCTCTAAAGGATTTTTAATATTTTTTATTTGAAATATTATCTCAGTATTTTACCACTTATATAATTCATTTATTTTATTTTCACCAAGTACCTTTTGTAGCACTGATGAAGATCTGCAAGGTCGGTCGAAATGTTAGCGAAACAATTGAAAATACTATTTTTTAAAATTTAATATTTATTTGATTGCACTCTTCCCCCCGACCAACTCCTCATATTAAGAATTTAAACTAACAAATTTTTTTTTTAGGTGTTCAAATAATGTGGGCTGTTATTTCATTCACCATGTATTTGTTTATTCCATAATTTTAGTTCTTATGGCAATGTTTCGGCCTCTATTTCCATCTTTAACAATTTTCACGTACATTAATAAATATTTTTATAACATCACTATGGAGCCCACCAAAAGAAAGAAAAGTTTTCTTTAAATAATTGCCAAATCTCTCGGATTCTTGACGTATGCAGTCTCTCATCAGTCATACTTATTTATAATGTTATTAAATTTAAAATGAAGTTCTTGTTTAGTTGTTCTAATTAATTTGGGGCGATAGTTCTTTCCAACAAGTATTTATTCATTCCACAATTTCATTTCTAATGGAAAATTATTTGAATACCTAAATAAATTCACCTTAAATTTAATAAAATTATAAGTTTTTTTAATGGTAATATGGATATGTGTTAAAACTTGGAATTTTACAGCAAAGAATATGATAGCAAAGTGTGAAATAGAAAGTTATTTAATGTTTTTGAAATTTTTTCTTAAAAATATATTTATATTTTTCACTTATTAGCATTCAAGACATTAAAAAAAAACAAAAAAAGATATTTTTCTGCACTTTAGAAAATCCTTACCTATGTTATACTTCATGAACCCTGCTAATGCCTCATTATTGAATGGCCACATCCCTGTTTAAGTTTTAAAGCCCATCTAATATGGCATAAAACTAAATAAGCTTATACTTCATTTATTAATATAATGTAAGTAGAATGATAGTTATAAAAACTCATCAAATTATTCAATAACTTACAGTGAACAGAATATTAGGTTTTCATTTATCACATAAACTTAATATATAAATTATATATATTTAACAACTGAGTTCAATAAAATAAATACAGTTTTGTTAATTTACAGGATAAAAAATGGAATATAAGGAACATAAATTTTATCGTTTAAACATTGAAATATATATATATATGTATATATACTTTTCATATTTTACAATGTTACATTATAAATAAATACAAAATGAATAGATAAATCTGCCGGCATTGATGTACGATGTGATGATTCTTTTGAAACTGAAAAAAAAAAGAAGAAAAAACATGAAAAATCATACTTGCATACATAATACATGACATATATTTTTCATATTATATGTAATTGATTTGAGAACCATCACAGTAAATAAAAAAAAAAAAGTATTTTTGCATAATAAGCAATTCAGAGTTTATAACCAGATAATAGTTAAATTAGTAAGTCTTAGTCGCTCTATACCGTACATATGTAAAGGTTTTATTAGATAAAGATAGATAACCTGTGCCAGCGATCACCATGACAACAGTATCTGTTTTCATGAATTATTTAATCACTAATTATTTTAAATATCGAATAAGTAATTAATTTAATATATAATTATTAGTATTTCTTAGAAAACAGAGTCATTTATTGATCATTTTGTAAATTGTTGATGCCAAATGTTCTGTTTTTAACATTCAGTAAATTTTGCTAATAATTTCTCCTATATTTTAGACATCAAATTAAATTCAATGACCTAATTACATTAGGGTGAACGTACCAGTTAGAGACAGGGTCCCAAGTGATAGATAGGTTGGACTTTAAATGTAAATAATAAGCTTCCTTTTAGATTTAAAGGTTCCAGTTTTTTCTAGATTAAAGAACAATGCCCTCTATTGACAACTGTATGAAACAAAGTTCCCAAAAGAAAATCTTAAAATGCCTATCATTGTGGTGGCGTCCATCACTAGTGCAAAAATGTGTTTTTTGTTTTAATGCAGATTTTACCTGCATAACTGAATATTTTTTCAAATTTGAAGTGTTAAATAGAAAAAGAAGACCCTAAAGGTTCTAAATGTCCAAAGGATAATTTTATCACTGTAATAATTACGGCAGTATAAGCCAAAAATTTACTTAGCAATGTCCATCACTAGTACACTTACCCTTCCCATTAAATTGAAAAAAATATAGTTAATTGTTTGAAAATGGTAACAATAAAATATTTGTGGGAATACCATACTCATTTATACGTTGATCTATCTAAATTAATATAAAGTTATAAACATTTTAGCGCAATATAACTATTTAAAATAAATAATAAACAAAATTATAATGGAAATACTTAAGGTTAGGCTAATTAATTTGTTTTTCTGCCACCAGGTAGCTCTGACTGCAGGGTTCCCACTTAAGTGAAAAAAAGGTCCCTTTTTATCAAAGTTCCAAAAATGAAAAGAACAACAATTTTAATCAATCAAAGCCTAATTTGAGCACAGTTTAATCTATTTTTTTAATAATATAAGTAAAACAGACATACATTGAGCAGTTTAATATAATATTATGTATATATTAAAGCAGAATGGATTTTAAAGTTTGTTCTGAGGGAAAATCTAACTGACCAAAAGGGAAATAAAAAAAATAAATGGCGGAAACGATAACTGACTGACCTTTGTTATCTTAGTATTAGTATTAGTGTTATCTTAGTCAGTTGAAGCTCTATTTATATCTTACTTTGATGTGACAAAACCTTTGGTGGCTTTTATAAAATCTCCCAAATTTCGGCTTCTTTATTTACCTAATAATTACTAAGTTACTTGCATGAAATTAAGTTCAGAATAATTTAGTTTTTTTTATATAATTAAGTAATAAATAAACTGAACTCAAATCAGCTCATTTATGTGTCCATCTTTTTTTCAGATGCCTTGCATGGTTTTAGGGGATACATTTGAATGTCAAGTTAAGAACTTAGTGGGTTTGTACATAATGCTACAGAAATTTCACCATTTAAAAACAAAACAAAAAAACAGTGCAAGCATAAGTAATAACGTCATCTTTTGATAAACGTTTTCGCTTCTTTCTTGATTTGGAAGTTACCTCAAACTGAAACCTCCCAAAAATATGGTTCTGGATACCCCTGAGTTGTTATGAGTATAAATTTTGTAAATACAGGAGTGTCCATTTCCAAAACTTTCCTAATTAATTCAGACAAATTTAAACCACTATATTTCAATTTAATAATAATCTAAATTGAACAAGTTTTAACAAAAATATGATAAGTTTTTTGAGATTTTCACATTGCCCGTGATTGTTCCTCTATTCACTCAGGTCAGACATTATCAACCATAAACCTTAAGTCATATAAACTGGGACCCGCTACATTTCTTTATAGAGTTTGAGGCTTCAATGGCATTTTTTTTTACTTTTCCATCTCTACTAGGTAAGGAAAGAATTGCGATTGTGTCAAATTTCCAAAGTGTGGTTCTCAATGGATCTTTATGTTTCAGAGCCCCTAGAGTCTAAAAAACACATTTTCAGCTATTCGTCTGTCTGTGCCAAGATTATCTCAGGAACAAGTTGACCAATTTTATTACTTATTTTTTGTTTTAACTAACGATACCTGTGAAACGAATTGGGCGCTCCCTGCACAATAAGGAAAAAAAACATGTTTTTTCATCGTCTAGAGCCAAACACATATTTTTAGCCAATTTTTTAAAAGGTTATTAAATTTCTGACAAAACTAAAAAAAGATTAAAATTTTAAACAAAGTTAGGGTGTATTGAATTTTACATGCTGATTTTAAAGATGGTTCATTTCAGTCCGTTTAAATAACTTTAGTTCATCAAAGAAATCTAATCATATCTCTAACCGCTTTTCAGGAAAATTATTTTGATTCAATTGTTTTTTTTTTAATATACATATTAGAAATATATAAATTTATCTGAAATAAATAGGAAAGTTGTGTGAGCGGATACACCAGATATTTTTCAATAATTTCTTTCTTGGTATTTGATAGCTTTAAGCCAAAACTCTGGGTCAATCTGTTAAATTTATCTCTTCTTAATTTCAAAAATAGTCTGTAGAAACTCCTTTTTTAACTATCAAAACAATCATTAATAATGCAAAATGCTCTTGAGCCACACAAACTCAACATTTAATGAATTTTAAAACCATATTAATTCTCTTTTTTGTGGAAAAGTTATTCTTGATATCAGAAATAATGTAGGGAATTCCTTTATGTCAGATAACTGTTCACGGACAAGTGCAATTCTAATTCATCGACTAGAAAAGTGAACAATAACACAGTCATAATAAATAATGTTTTCTTCTAGCTTCGTTAAAAATGTTTGTCTAATAGAGTTACTTAACGTTGCACGCGTTAATGGAGGGATTATATCTCATAACCAGAATGAAACAGCCACAACTCGAAATTTGAAACATCAGAAATTTTTATAATTGTATCCTTATCAAACAAAAGAGCCCCCTTAAATATAATATGTAATTTAATTTAACAACATTAGCTAGAGCTAACATCGTGGAGGTTTCTATGTTGAATTTAACCTGTTTCTAATGTTCGTTCTCATAGAAACACATTTTATAAGTTGTGACTCTTTCATTATGGGTGTGCAATATATGAAGTTTGTCCAGATAATACATAGTAAAGTTAAAAAAAAAAAAAAAAATAACGATTTTACATTAAATCAGATAATTTAATATTGTTTAGGGAGTGAGGTAGCACAGTGGTAGTATACTGAGTTTCCACTGCTAAAGGTCCCAGGTTCGAATCCTGGCTCATGGCAGAAAATTTATTTATTCTGTTTCATTGGCCGTGGAATGACCCTGGGTAGGTATACCCTCCTGGGACACACCCAGCCTCTATAAATTGGGTAACTTTATTAAAATAATTAATTAAGGGGAAAAATATGGCGGTTGAGCGTAATCTTGGTCAAATCACCTTCTTGCACAACCGTAGACCAAGAAAGTGATTTTCCTAAATAGTACTGAACCCAAGACCCTTCATGGGTTGTAGTGGTACAGGCATTTTTTTTTTAATATTGTTCCTTTCAAATAATCTCCCTGATACACAATAAAGTTACACTGTCCACTCTTTGAGTCACTTGGGTTATCTTAAGCTTGTTTAAACTTGCCTATTTTTAATGTTTTATACGAATGGATTTTATTTTATCGAAGAACAGCTAATAAACATAAAATTTCTAACAAAACTTGATAAGGATAGCCATTATTGCTAATAGGTATTATGGAGGACTCCGAAGCTGTCTTCATAGCAAGGTGTATCTAGTACCATCAATATACACTTATATGAATCTTTTGTCAGACTCATTCTGACCTATGGATTAGAATGCTAGACCCTTCACACAACCCAAGAACGCTCTCGCAAGAATTGAAAAGAATCTACAGAGAAGTCTATACAAAGACATGCCAAAAAAAACATCAATACACAACTGATGAACCTTTATGCTGATACCACTAGTGCCTTTAAGATAAACACTGGATATACAGATCTAGAAAGCGGCAGCCTAGAAGAAAGAGATGGATCTTCCATCACGACGATATTTTGCTATTTGTGCAAGAGTTCTTGACCTAAAATTCTATTACCATTATGGATCGTCGCATTTATTTACCTGATTTAGCACAATAAGACTATCTTGTTTCCTAACTGGAAGATGAAGTTTCAAGGGTAGCATTTGAATTAAGTAGAGGCCATCAAAACAGAAACTATCAGGACTTAGAGGAAGTATTTCGAAGGGGATATTATTAAACTACCTGATTAAATGTAAAATAAGTTTCTTTTTTCCCTTTTAAATAAACTTGATAGTCAAACGTCCGATGTATATAGAATAGTATAAAGTATAAATAAATAAAACCAAACAGAAATCGTTCATACTTTATTTTCCAATATCTAACAGCTCCTTTTCAACTATACTTCGGTATTCATCAAAGCCTCCTTCAAGACTCTTTACTGTGCCATTCGAGCAAACCCACAGTTCTTGACAAACCATTCGGATGAGTCTTTCATCGTGAGAAACTAATATGACACCGCCCTGGAAAAAAAATAAAATAAAATAATAGAGCAAATATAGAAATATATTAAGAAGAAATTTTTGAAACAATTTCAAATCAAAATTAATTTAATTAGATTATTTTGAACGGTAATATGAAAAAACTATGAAATAAATTGTTGTTAATAATGTTCCGATTTTTTTTTTTGTTTTGTAGGTAATTTAGTAATCTTTCTAATAATCATGAGTACAATTATTAATGCAGAAAAAATGCATTCTTTTTGAGTTATTCTCAAATAAAGTTTCTTTTCCTTCATAACTTTTTTCCCCCAGAAATTTCTGGGGAATAGGACTATTTTTCGCCTGTGAAGGAGAATAATATCTTCATAATGAGTGGTCAATCATTGGATTTGATGAACGATTGACGAAGTTATGGCGTACTGACAAACAAAAAATACCTTTTAGAAATAATATATTGGATTAATTTTAAGTCATTGTAATAGCCAACATATGATGGGGGAAAAAAAGACAGTTTTGGGGAGATATGTTGGAGCCTCGGGAGTGTAGAGGCACGCCCAGAAATTGTGTGTAAAATACTTTTGGTTTGGTTTGGAATAAGTTCCCGTTTTCTCAGATAGCTCAATGTGCCAATTGGACGAAGTCCACCATTGAGATTTTAATTGAGATAAATATGTATATATAAGTTTTTTTTTTACTAACATTTATTTTTATCGTAGGTTAATGTTTAGTTCTACAATATTTTCTTTGATAATTAAAGTTTATTGTATTTTTTTGTTTTTGTTTTCTTATAAATGGATAAATCTAATTTCTTGTTCATAATTTTCATTTCCTTTAACTGTTATTTAAGTCAATAGAAATAAGTAAATTCATCATCAGTATTAATGATAGACAGTTTTATTTTCTCCTTTTTCTTCTGAGTTTGTTTTACGGTTTTATATGTATATATTATATGGGTTTTTTTAAAGGTTTAATAAGGAATTGTAAAACCCTATTCTAGGAATTAGGGAAAAATCAATATTAACCAAGTAAGAAGGTTCGATAGGTTACAAGGTTAATTAACATATGTTTTTAAACCCATAGGTTCAGAGTATGTAGCTCGATCTGTGTCCAAATCTTTTTTTTTATTTAATATATTTATTTTTCGCTATTTTCCAAAAATTAACAAATTAAATAGCGTGGTGCCTGTTAGATAATTAGTAATATGTAATTAACTTCATAATATTTCTTTTTTGTTTTTGCAAACGCTACCGTCTCCACTGGGCGTCAGGCAAGTATGTTGTGGAAACTATTTTTTTAAATTAAAGAACCTAACAAGTTCTACTTTTTTTGTTCAAATAAAGAATTATTATTAGTATTTTTATTTAGTCTTATTGTTCTAATCAAGTGACAACTACAGCATAACTTAGAATGAGCTTAGATGATACTTACGGTATATTTGTTGATCGCAAGCCCGAGAGCTTGAATACTTTCAATGTCAAGATGATTTGTAGGTTCATCAAGTATTAAAAAGTTGGGCCTAGACAAGCACATTTTTGCGAAAGCCACCCTCGACTTTTGCCCTCCCGATAACGATCCAACGGGCTGTAATGCAAGATCGTTAGAGACGCCGAAACTGCCCAATTGTCTCCTATATTCCTCCACAGGTTTTCCTGTTAATAGATTATTTAAATTTTAATTTCTAAAGTAAATAAGAGAGAAAAAAAAATAGGATAAATAAATGAACAAACCTGGAAAAGCTTCCTGAAGCAGTTCGACAGCTGAAACATTCATAGCTAATTGATCAACGTGATGCTGACTGAAATAGGCAAACCTGAGATTCCTATGGACGATTCTAGTTCCGCTAGTCGGGGAAAGAATACCGAGGATTAACTTAAGTAGCGTGGTTTTACCAGCACCATTGTCTCCTACCTGAAAATTAGGCACGATTATTTTATTAAAAAGTTCAATATAGTGATCCAGAAGCTGTCGAGCATAAAAGTTGAATTAGCGATACCTTGCTAAAATATTTTGGAGAATATTAAAAAATTAAGTGTTATATAACAGACTTTTATTTATTTAGTGGTGTATACAAGCATCATTTGATTAATAATATTATAATTCAGAATAATATATTCTTAAGGACTATTCGGTGCCACCTCCACCATCATATTATGAAAAATTCAAGAGAAAAAAAAGAATAATAATACTGTCATCAGGGGTTCATAATTAAATAATTGATTATAGGCAAAAACTGGGTGGTTAGGCATGATCTTGGTTAAACCACCTCCTTGCATAACTGTTGACCAAGAAAATACTTCTTACAAAATATTCAACCCAAGACCAACCTGCGTTGTAGAGGTACAGGTTTTTGAAAAAAAAAAAAAAAAAATTATTTGGTATGCAGTAATAATTAATAGTATGTGGTACAGACGGACCTCTTTTTATCAAATTATTAACATCTGCCTAGAGCTTCTCGAATGGCTTAATCTTATCCTAACCTACAACTTTTTTATTTACAAAAATTTACAGAATTGGGACGTTTTCTCATTAAATTAATCAATTTAACGAGCAACTAAAAACTCATAAATACCTATTTGCTATCCAATTGGATTGTAAGATAATTTCCATGATTTTTAAAAAATTGAATTATCCTACAATTCGAGTGGAAAGCAAATGGGTATTCATGAGTTTTTAGTACCTAATTACATAGACAAAGTTTGCTGATCTACAGATTGAAAACACCCCAATTCTGAGAATTTTCCTAAATATAGAAATTGTAGGTTACGATGAGGTGAAGCTATTCACAAAGTTAGTTTTAAGGGGATGTTAATAATTTGATTTTTGTACCACGGATTATAATATTATAGAACATAAATTAAATTCTATGAGAAAATATAACAAATTCTTTGATTACTTGGACTCGTTTTTGGATGGATAAATTAGATTGATATAAATCATACACATTGTATTTCTTCTCCCTTGATAATTTAGTATTTATTTTAAACAAAGTTCATTCTTGTAAGGACATCATATATTGAAGCTTTTGAAAAAGTATTTAGTTAGTTGCTTGATATTTTATAATGAACTTTATGCATTCTGGCTAAAAGAGACATAAATATTACTTACAATACATATCCTCGATTCGAGGGTAGCGCCAAGTTCAACGCCGTTGAGGATAAGTTTCGATGGATCGTAACCAAAAGACAATTCTTTTAACTGAAGAATGGGTGGGGAGAGGGGTTCCACCTCGGGAAATCGTAGAACTACTTCAACTTCTTTTTCGATTGGTTTTAGTTCCGGTCTAAAAAAATAAAATAAAATTATACGAAGATGATGAAATAACTTTTGATTTACATACTTTATTTTAAAATTTGATTTCTTCTACTTACAATTTATCTAACATTTTAATTTTGGACTGGACAGAAGAGGCCCTGTTGGCGTTGTACCTAAACCTATCGATGAATTCTTGAACGTGGGCTCTGTGCTGGGTTTGGGCCTCAATCTCCCTAGCTCGGTTTCGGAGTTTTTCTGTTTTGACTTTTTCAAACCTGAAAACAATAAATAGAATATCTTAATACTTACTAATTAACTAATTATTATCATATCTGAGTAAGAATTCTCATATTAAATAATTACCCTTCTACTAGGCCCGTGCGAATAATTCACAGAAAATTTTGTTTAGTGAAGAAATAGCAAAACATTCAGGAAATAAGTAGTTCCTATGTATTATGTAAGGAAGGAATTAATATTTCTTCCTTGGTCGATTACAATATTCCATTAAACATAATAGAACAAAATATTTGTACAAATTGCTTTGCTATAACCTATTTTTAAACGCTGACTGGAAAGATAATAAAAGTAATAAAGACAAAATAATGCCCCGATCATGAGATTTTCTAAATTATTAAAAAAAATTAAATGTGAGAACAAGGAAATGTCCTTAAGAAATAACAGAGTTAATATATCAACCAGGAAAAAAAGTGTAGTAGACTATTCTACTCCTAAATGCAATATCTTTAAACAGGAAGACATTATTAAGTATACCGAAACTAATGGACTGTATCTCTGTTAATAATTGTCCGATTTTTTTTGTTGTAGGTAATTTAGTAATCTTTCTAATTATCTAATTAAGAAAAAAATGCATACTTTTTGAGTTATTCACAAATAATATTACTTTTCCTTCGTAACTTTTTTTGTAAAAATTTTGGGAGGATAGGACTATTTTTCGCATGTGACAGAAAAGAATATCTTCAAAATGAGTGTTCAATCATTGGATTTGATGAAGAATTGACGAAGTTATGGCATACCGACAAAAAAAAAAACACCTTTTAGAAATAAGATATAGGATTCCCTAATACATTAAATTACACAAAGTATAATTGGTATTGTAGATAGAAACATTTTTATTTGAATAAAAAATATATTTTTCACCAATGAAGTCTGTTTAGTGAATATAATTGGTCATGTTATGTACTAAATAATTGCTATGATAGCGTATATTAAGTGGCAGTTTACTTGTTATATAATAATTTTTTTTTCTTACTCTTTTAATTACCAAAAACATAGGAAATTATTCCTTTATCTTTTTTTTTTTGGCCAAATGTCAACAAATATACATGGTATCACATCATGTATTATTCATTCGACATTTCGGCTTCAGGAAAAAATGGCACCGAACCTAAAATATACGACTAGAAAATTAGATACCTTTGTCTTATGATGCATTGAATTGTTTAATTCACTTATTATTTTTTTATTTGTTCATTGACCAATATTCTTAGCGAATCATTCGCGGGAACCAAGTAGTGTAAATATATTGTGATATGTTAACATAATGTAAAATTTAAAAAAATATCACAATATCCTGAAGGTGGTATTCATTCATTGCAATTCAATAATCAAGATGACCTGTGCTCATTGCAAACAGGTTGTTTAAGTAGATGAACATTACTTGGTGTTTTTCTATAAACAGATGAATCCCTTTTACCTAGTTGTAATATTTATTATAATATTACATAAACAAAAACCATTACCTTTCATAATTTCCTCGATAAGACTCAATAGTGGCAGAGTGGAGATGAAGTATATCTGTCGGTACGGTATCCAGGAAATGACGGTCGTGAGATACGACTAGTAAAGTCGTGGGCCAACTTTGAAGATAATTTTCTAGCCATATGATTGCCTTCATATCCAACATGTTAGTAGGTTCGTCCAACAGAAGGAGATCAGGCCTGAAAGTATATTTTAAACATAGCTTTAAAAATAATATTTTATATCAGATCAAACTTTTAATTTGTTCTCAGCATTTCCTGTATTTTTAGAGATACTATTATAATAATTATAAAGTATTATAATAGCTCTTTTATTTAGTAAAAACAATTTAAAATAAGATAAACTTACTTTGAAAACAACGCTCGAGCCAACGCAAGTCTCATTCTCCAACCACCAGAAAATGTTTTGGTAGCTCTCCTTTGCATATCCGGCGTGAAGCCGAGACCAGCGAGAATGACAGACGCCCTTGCAGGCGCTTTGTCGGCTTCCATTGCTCCAAGAGCTGCGTATATTTCAGCTAGTTCACTACTTAATTCAGTTTCGTTGCCCCTGAACATTTTTATTTGATTAATATATTAATGTTATAATTATAAATCTTAAAACTAAAATACTTTATTCACTATGCTAAGAAGACTGAGGTCCTTCTATATTTAAAAGGTAAATGAAATGATTAACCAACCGCTACAAAATTTCAGATTTCTAATCTCAATTATAATTACAACTTTTTAACACTACCGAAAGAAAAATAGTCAGTACTGTACTTAAAATGTTGGATTTGTTAGAGGGATATAAGTCAGAAATTAACATCTGTGATATAGATATATCGATCCTTAGAAAATAAAATTATAACAACTATTAATTATTGCTATTATTTTTTAAACACATGAAGGATTCCAAAAATAATAATATATAAAATTATTTACCCTCCGGCATTGATGCGCTCATTTATTGCTTTTTCTCTGTCTAACAGAGTTTGGCGAGCGATATCGCACTGTAGAACACTGTCAAGAGCCATGGTGTCGTCCCCAGTTACTTCCTGCTCAACGTGTAAGAACTGAGATATGAGATGGAATGTGTAGCTGACCGCTGCAATAAAAAAATAAATAAAAATAAAAAACAGATAGATATATTTAATTAATATAAAACAGTTAATTAAGTAGGTATCTAGGATCTACGATAACTAGAAAAAAAAAAACGAAATTGAAGAGGATATTAAGGTTAGGTTGAAGGTGGGAGGAAATGCTTGGTATTTTTCTTTGTCAAAACTACTTTGTACTCGCCTCCTGTCCCAAAACTTAAAAATTAGAATTTATAAAATCATTATATCATTCCTACGGTTCTTTATGGATGCAAAACATGAACGCTTACATTAAGAGATGACACATCTTAAGTTTTTTGAAAATAAGGTATTCTGCAGGATATTCGGACAGAGTCAACCGGAGAATTTAAGCGGTTACACAATTCTGAATTGTATGAACTATATCCGGTTAATATAATTGAGATGATTAAGTTGAGGCGAATAAAATAGGCATATAAAATCGCTGGGCTTAGTAATGAAAGAATTCCTACAACGTTAATAAGCGCTGTAATAAAACAGGTAAGTGTCCGAGGGATAGACCAAAGCAAAGATGGAAAGATTGCGTTAAGGCAGAGTTGGGTTTAAACGGAGCCCAGTGGATGGAAGAATTTGGACATCGATTGGTGGTATCGGCATCGACCTTCAGGTTCGCTAAGTCTTATTATTATTATGGTGTAATTAGAAGAATTCCAACCACACAACCTTATGTTTTCAAAATGCAGGCAAAGAATAAAAAACCTGATAATTCAGACATCATTAGGACAGAAGAGAAAAACAAGGCAATAACTATTACAGAAAATGCAGTAAATTTTAAATCTGATTTTAAAAAAATATTAGCAAAAATAATGCAAAGTTTTAAAAAACCACCTGTCGGTGGCGGTATAGTTATATTACTATCTATTGCAGTAAAACAGTCATACAGAGCAATACTGACAAAGGATATTGTAAAGCCGGGAAATATCGTGCTCTACTAACCTTAATGTTCAATGTAAATGGCACCAAAAACAGTTGTCTCAAGCTTAATATAGAACATAAACTATGCTTAAAACTTAAATAAATATATATATATATATAAGATGGTTTGTTTGTTCCTTACCTTGAAATCATTCTTAAAAGAGTAGTTTTTCCGAGTCCGTTCCTGCCAACAAATCCGTAACGCCTTCCGTAAACCAAAAGCAGTTCAGCACCTTCGAGAAGTTTCCTGTTAATGGCATCAGGTCATTAACACACTAATGTTAATATTGATTTCCTCTGAAATCTGTTAACAATAATATATATAATATAAAATACTGATAACAATTTGTAAAACAGGTTTTATGTAAAAACTATTTATTCTAAGCTTAATCAAAAAGGTAAAAACTAATCAAGAATTTTCAGCTAATGAAAAGGCGTTGAACTACAATGATTTTATAATAATTGTCATATATTCTTAACAATTTTTTAATATAAATCAGTAACAAATTTACCAAGAGACAGAAATAAATGTTTGGTTATGATTGGAAAAATTCCACTCATACTTAGCCTTATATATCCAAAATGCAGGCAAAGAAAAAAAGCCAGTCAACGTTTTTGCCAATTCATCACCAGGACAGAAGAGAACAGGAAATTGAACATCACTTTATGTAGTAGTATGCTATTAGGTGTCATGGAGTGATGTTCGATTTGCTGTTCTCTTCTGCCCTGATAATGAAATGGCGAAACGTTGACATGTTTTTTCTATGCCTCAATTTTGGAGACATAAGGCTGTATGGTTGGAATTTTTCCAATTATAACCTAACACTTGGAATTAAATTAAATGGAAATTGATAGCAGAGCATTTGTACATTATTTTCAAAAGCTTCTCTAACTATGGGCTAAATCAAATGAGAATATTGAAATATAAGTGTATCGAGAAAAATTCATTTAACGTAGGGGACGGAAATTGATACTGGGTCATTTTTTTTATTAATTTTTTTTTTTTACTGCTTCAACTTTTCTCCAATTTTGAGTTAAATTGAACGAGTCATTTTTTGATATACAGACGTACAAAAATCCTAATAAAGTGTTCGCATCCGCAAGTGGAAGTAGTTGATGGGATTTGATATCGATATTGGACCAATCCGAAAATCCCAATATCAGATTAATGATAGTAAGTGAAATTCCTTCTTTGCTACTTAAATATATTTATAATTTATATTTTCACAGTTAATAATCCGGGGTTTATATTCATGGAATTTTTTATTAATATCTTTGTTAATTTTTTTAGCTTTCTAAAAAAAAATAGCCATTACCTTGTTAAACGTTTGTTTTGTTATTTATTGCATTTAGTTAGTTCCCCTGAGATCAGTGCTTAATATTAGCAATATTTAACTGAATGATTTCATGTATTATTACTTTTTTTTCTTAGCCCAAAGATGCACTTCGGCCTCATTGAAGCCTATTGTGCATCGTCCTAATTTCTGTTAAAACAGGCCAGAGGCCTTTGTGAACTTTTATAAACTTATGGGATCAGTGATTGAGTCATTTCCAAAATGGAAGAACCTCAGTGTAGCCAAGTCATCATATTTGCATAACGATGTGGTAGGCGCCTCAGCTAAGCCCAAGTTAAAGAGGTGCTTTAGATGGAGAGAACGGCAGTCTTGTTATCTTTGACAGAGATATTCATAATCATGAGTAAAAATTATTATTTCTTAAAACTTTTCCTTATATAAATAATAGCAGGGTAAACAGAATGTAGTTTTTTAATATATATATTTAGTGAGTCATCATTGACAAGTGTATAGTTCCGTCACACATCAAATGGTGCCGCTGACTATCAACAGTATTTGTTTTCTAGTGTGCTCCAAATAGAGTTTGATTTTATCGCTAACCTGTACCACTACAAACCATGGAAGGTCTTGGGTTCAGTAATATTTAGGGAAACTACTGTTGCTTGGTCAACGATTGCGCAAGGAGGTGATTTGACCGAGATCACGCTCATCCACCAGATTTTCCTCCTTAATTAATTTTTTAATTAAAGGAACCCACTTTATAGAGGCTGAGTGTGCCCCAGGGCGGATCCACAGCTGTTGAAACAGAATAAATAATTTTTCTGCCATGAGCAGGTATTCGAACTTTATCGTTAACAGCTGCCTTAATATATCTTTAGGCAAAGTCGAGGGTAATACCACAGATGGAGTCTGGTGCTAAAGGCAAAAATCTTGAGCCCTTCCCAGCGAGGCTACCATCCTTCTCATTACCTAAAATTCCTAAGTTATAATTACTTGCTAAGTAATACTTTATAAAAGTTTAGAAACATTTTAGCTATTTTTTCCTTTAACATAGCTAAAATATGCAAATAAAAAGGATATTACGAATGCAAAAAACATCCACAGTTATGAAATTAATAATGTTTAAATCCATTTTGAATAAAATAATTTTCCCCTTCACGTAGGACACTAATCAAATGCGTTTTATAGTGGCTAAGCATTAAAGTCTTATTATACCGACCTAATGGCTTTCTCTAAAAGCTAAACAAACTGGAAATTCCAAGATTAAAGTAAAGCCCACATTGCTCGTTAAAATTCTTATCTAATTTACTCTATCTAATAAACCCAGCTAATATGGCATCAAATACAGAAAAACAAATTCATATTATCAAAGAAAAGGTTTAAAGATACAATCTATAGAAAGATTTAGAAATTTTATTAAAACTGATAAGTTAAAAAATAAAATTTTTTTTTTTTATATTCTTCCTTTTTATTAATCTAAATCAGAATTAAAAAGTTTCAAGCATAATAAAAACACAGTAGAAATATCATTTCTCACAGAGGACATATGACAATAATAATAAAGTCGATAATATAGAATAAAAAAATATTGGTTTGTTTAACTACATTTTTATTTTAATGTTTTTACATAAATATCTTGTTCTTAGTAAAGAATCAAAATTGGGGAACGGAATCAATTTTTTTTTTTTTTTTAAATTGATTATTATAAAAACTTTTTTTTTTAACATTATACTAGAATATTACTTTAAATTAATTGCGATCAGAATTAAATAGCCTCAGGTAAGATAAGAACACGGTAGAAAGAATATCAGTCACTATCAGCGGGAGACATGTGTCAAGGGCAAATTCACGCACCAATTGGTAATAATTAGAAAATGGCTCACAATGCCAAGGCCACAGTTTAGTCACTTTGGCAACCAAAATAGTCTGCTAGAAATACCAGATTAAAAAACAGACAATATACACACATTTAAAAACAGTTTTTTTCTTTTTTCTTAAACATAATAACCTGTTTTACAGCAGAAATCAATCGATAAACTGACCTATCTCCATATGCAACATCGAAATTTTCAATCCTGATATCTTGAGCACGGTTTACACCTTTAGCTTCCATCTTCATTTCTTTCTTGTTGGTGACCTGGAATTATTAATAATATTTAACAGTTACAATCAACAATCACTAATGAAGAAAAATGCATTATTAATTAATTAAAATAATTCAAATCAAATTAAAATACATTAATTTGTATTGCTTGATCAAAAGTAAAAAAATAAATAAAATATAAGAAAAGTAAATACTTTCAGTTCTAAGATTAATGTTTCGATGAGAAAATATAAAAATAAAAATTGTGATTGAAAGTTTCAGGTTATGCTAATAATAATTACAATTGTACCCTTTTTTGCTAATCTATTTATAATTTAATGAGAGTTATTTAGTATATTTTTTTTTGTGAAATAAAATCTTTCATTTTTAAATCAATTTTTTAATTTATTATGCTCCTTCGTCTACGCTTCAAACTCTTATAACCCATCTTCATGGACAATTTATCTTTAGAATTATATTTGTTTTATTATAAATTTGTAACATTCAATTCTTTTGTTATCTATTATCCACAAAATGTTTATTTAATCATTTTCTTAGAATTTATTAAAAATATAGTTATTATGGATAGTGTTGTCGAGGGATGTTTTAATTTATTTAAAAATATAAGAGATAACTTCACAAAAAGTAAAATGAAAAGACCCTTTTTATTTTATTTTTATGAAATGTATGGCCATTGTGAACATGAAACATGCTATGCGACACGAGACTATAAATCAGTACTATAATTTTTTTTTTTTTTTTTTTAACGGTATCTCATATCCTATGTGCTGGTTAAAAGTAGTCATGTATTAAAAATTTGAAACATCATTTAAATTGCTAAACAAAAATATGTTAAGTGTTTATTGTAAATGCAACAAATCAACCATGTAAATCTTGTAAGAGTTAACAAATTCGAGGTTTTATGACGTTAACGACAATAAATATTGTCTGATAAGAATGAAATGCATATATCAATGAAAACAAAGATGTGAGACCGCCATTTAACTATTAAAACATATTTAGAAGTAATTTGACATAAATGACTGTTTCAAATTGGAAAATAACAACCATCATATTCTTATAAAATAATATTAAAAAAAAATACTGTCATTTGACAATAAAATTGAAATAAATAATTATAATTTATTAGAGCTTTAATGATAATGTTTAGCTTATAAATAGAACATTCATACATTTACAATCTAGCTTCTTAGAATCATCTATACATGGCTCTGAAATTTGAAATACGTTTTCCTGAAACTATTATATTTTCATTAGTCAATTATTTTATTTTAAAAACATTACCTGTGATGCAGTAGCTGATTGCATTTTCGGGATAGGAGCAGCTGCTCTATTGCTAACAGCCGTTTCTTGACGCTTTTCTTGTTTTTGCTGTAATTTTTGTTCGGCTTTCTCTAACTTTTTGGCATCAACTTTCTAATTAAAAAAAAAACAATTTTTTTTAAAATAATTTTAAAATGAATTAATTAAAACATTAAAACTTATTAACTTAATAAATGACACTTACCAAACCATCATCCCTCTGCATTACCCATATGCTCTTGATATCATCGACCGTTTCTATATGGTTAGCTACCATTGAACCAAGGTGAACAGGGGCGTTTAAAATTTTAGCTTCTCCATTTATTTCACCGTTTGCTTTGTTATCGTCTTTCATCAAAGACAATATTCTCTGACATATTTCTCTGTAAAATTGAGAAAAAAAAGAACAATTAAAGATTATTTTGAAAATAATGTGAAACAAACATATTGTTATCTTTATTAAAAACACAAGGAACAAGAACTAAATTTATGCTTTTTATTAGCGAAAGAATCAATTATAGAAAAAAAATGAAATTAGTTAATATATCTTCAAAATTTTAAATCATATAAGAATTTGAAGGAACATTCAATGTTATTGATTCATCTGAAATGAGAAAATAATTTTTGAACTACGATTTACTTCACTTTTTTTCAAAGTTCTCGTGACATTTTTAATAGAACAATTTAACATGAATGAATATGTAATGATGAATGTTTAATTATCCTACAAGCAATGTTAATGTCCAATCTTGTCCTTTATGAATCAATAAAACTATATATAAATAACTCTTATTTTTCTACCTATCCATACATGATGGGTATCATGTATGGATAACACAACCAACAATTCTAGCTATAATGAGAAGATCAAGATTCTGTCCAGGATTCAAAACAGAAAGGTTAGATCAGGAGATTGCTATGGTGACGCCTTAACACTCGGGACATAGTTTAAGAATGTTATTCCTTTACTTTCTAATTCTTCACTTCGCTCGCTCTTGAAACATTCATTCTTCATGTTTTTTGTTTATAAAAAAAACTTTGAAATTAAAACAATGAACTTTTTTTTAGCATTTTGGTAACTAACTATAAATCTTGTATTTTTTAAGCTAGGCACAAATGAATCATTATTAACTACTTTTTCTCCTGCTTATTCTGCGGTATATAGTTATTTTTTTTGTCATTAGTGGCGAAGGGGTTAATCGTTGGTTAGGATGACATATTCAGGAAACTATGGCATACCGAAAAAAAAAATATGTTTAAGAAATACTACATAACGGCACTGATTAATATTAATTTTCCACTATTTTCATTGTAATTAGAATTGATTCACCGACAGTCTTAGAATACAAAGAATGTTATTTGAACATGAGACAAAAAAAAAAAACATGCTTACCTTATATCATCTTCGCTCCTTCCATCTGCTACCTCATGCAATACTTCTCCGATAGCTTCGTACAATTCTTCACTGCTTTCGAAGTCATCAATACCATTGGTAATGACACCTGTTTGTCACACATTTCAATCAAGATTCTATTTCATCATTCAGATATTTGTTTACATACACCAAAATTAAACATGGGGGAAGTATACTTGATTACAAGTATAAGATTATGAGTATAATGACAAATATTTATTGTAATAAAGAAGAATACACAAAGGGAGAGATGAAACAAAGAAAAAATAATCTGAGTTGGTACAGGTTAAGAATTGTAAGTGATGACAGGCGTGGATTATTTTAAAATGAAACCAGCGGTTTTCAAATATGTTTAAAAGACTAACCGGCTAAAACTTACCTTCGACATATTCGAACAAATCGTCATCAATGAGGGGAAATTCATCTTTCAAGAGCTGTCCACAGGCAGCCATCTTACATTGGTACAGCTGTTCGAGAATAGCTTCGTTGCTCCTCTTCAAATTAACAACCAAGAACTGTTTCTCCCGCTTCCAAAAAATTTGAATTTATTTCATTCACAACGAGCTCAATGATAACCATTTCTTATTTAAATTTAACTAACGAAAAAAATATATATTTCGGTCAATGATTAGTGATATAATTTAATCAAGTCTATTCCTATTATAAATTTTTAATTAATTTCCAAACCAATGTCACGTTTGAAATATACAATGCATTGATAACGTGCTCCGTCTTATCATGTTCAGAAAGCATGATGGTGATCCAAGTATGGAAATAATCCATCGATTCATTAGCGGATCCAGGATTTAATTTTGGGGTGGGGGGCTTCAGTCCGAAACTTTTTTTCATAAAAATTAGGATAATTACTTTGGAAAAACAGAAGGAAACTAACTACCTAAATGAAATGGTGTTTAAGTGATTCTATAAGTCCTTTTAAATGTAATTACACAATAATACTTTAAGAGATATTTTTTGAATTTTTTTTTCTATAAAACATGGTAATATTTTACCATTTTTTGGTGGTAGGGGGCTTCAGCCCGAAAGCCTCTCCCCCCCGTAGATCCGCCCGTGCATCGATTTAACTGCCTTTTTTCATTTTGCTTAACTTTTTTTACTTTCTTAGCTATACTAGGTAAGGAAAGTATTGCAATCGGGTCAAATTTCCGATATGTGGTATTCGACGTATCTGTACGTTTCAGAGCCCCCTTAGTCAGAAAAATACATTTTTAGCCATTGGTCTGTCTGTGCCAAGATTTTCTCGGTAACTACTGAACCGATTTTGTTGCTTCTTTTTTTATTTTGTAGGGTTTTGACTACTGATGCCTGTGACAGAAATTCGGTGCTCCATGCGCAATAGCTTGGGCGCAATAAATGAAAAACATGTTTTTCTATAGTCTGTAGCGTGAAAACGGATCTAACGATATTGATGAAACTTTCTTAAAATGTTCTAATAATTGTCTCACATCCCAAAATTAAGTTGTACAATGAAATAAATATTATGAATCAAATTTAGACTGAGGTGAATGGTTATAATATTTTGTTTTTTATTTAATCTGATTTCTGTTTTTCTTTTCATTTAAATATGTTTGTTTTTTTCAAAATAGTGTTGCTTTTTATTTGTTATTATCTACTTTCACTGAAGATACTATATATAATCTTTAATTTAGATTTATGTAATTTTTGTCCAGATGTGGTTTTTATTTTTTGTTCATAATTGTTATTCATAAGGGACCTCGCCCCAGAATAAAGATTATTTTCTACTCTAAATATTGTCTTTTCCCACCCGTGAATCACCAGCGGATACAGGATACAATTTTGGGAGGGCTTCAGCTCGAAAGCTTTTTTTTCATAATTACTTTGGGAAAAAAAGAAAGAAACTAACTACCTATATGAAATGGTGTTTAAGTGATTCCTAAAGTCCTTTTAAATGAAATTACACGAACAATAATACTTTAAGACAATAATACGTTATATTTTACCGTTTTGGAGAGAATTGCTTCAGCCCCAAGCTCCGGATTATAGTTGTAATAAAGGAATCAAAAGAATACGAGCTTGCTTCAGCTCGAAAGATTACATCAGGCTTCCATACGCAACATGAGCTTCATATAATTTGGAACCCGATAATATTATGTGTATATACATATGCGGTTTTCATAAATGCTATCGTTGGTACTATTTAATATTTAACTGTATAGAATACATCGATATGAAAATTAAAACTTGTATATATAAAGGTATTTAAACAAATAAAAATACCCACAATGAATTGTAAATAAATACAGCTCCAATAATTTTTACTTTCACTTCTCCTTTGTCTGAAAATACTTATTTATGCTAAAAGGGTGGTAAGTGAAAGTCGTGTGATGCAGTTATAGTAGTAATAAAGGAAGTTGTAAGCAGATTTTTTTTTCCCTAAAATCTTCAGCTTTCCAACAATAATTGTTTGTTATGAACACATATTTATACAATAACCTTAATCAATTACCAACGATTGGAAATAGAACAGTAGAAAGAACAATAAAAAGTTGGTTATCAAAACTGGTCAATCTAAAAGAAGCTAATCTTGGGTGCTGTGCACGGGCGGTCGACGAAGAGGGGCTTTCGGGCTGAAGCCCCCCCTCCCCAAAATGGTAAAGTAGAACCATGTTTTATCGAAAAAAATATTAAAGCATTATCTCTAAAAGTATTACTGTTCGTGTAATTACATTTAATAGGACTTTAGGAATCACTTAAACACCATTTCATATAGGTAGTTAGTTTCCTTCTTTTTTTCCAAAGTAATTATCGTTATTTAAAAAAAAAACTTTCGACCTGAAGCCTCCCCTCAAAAATAAATCCTGGATCCGCTAGTGGTGCTGTGGCTAGTTATGTCATGAGGTCTTTCATTCAGCTTCTTTTCAGTCTTAGTTGGATGTGATTGCGTATATTTTGTTGAATACACCGTGAACAAATACATTGGAGCACGGGCGGATCTACGGGGGGAAGGAGGCTTTCGGGCTGAAGCCCCCCCCCAAAATGGTAAAATATAGCCATGTTTTATCGAAAAAAATATTAAAAAAGTATCTCTTAAAGTATTATTGTTTGTGTAATTACATTTAAAGGGGCCTTAGGAATCACTTAAACACCATTTCATACAGGTAGTTAGTATCTTTCATCTTTTCCAAAGTAATTATCGTTATTTTTATGAAAAAAACCGCTTTCGGGCTGAAGCCCCCCCAAAACTAAATCCTGGATCCGCTAGTGCTTTGGAGTCTGTGGTGAATTTTTTTATACCAAGTCCCTGTATGTTCTTTGATTAAATATTTGTGGAGGGTAATGTTATTAACGTACAAATGTGCTTATATGATTAACCTATACGTTTTAGCTTGAAATATTTATTTATTTTTGAAAATTAGTTTCAGTAAATAAACATACATATGCATTAAGTTTTTTCCTTGGTTTCCAAGTAGATAATTCAATATTTGTAAATTTTAACTTAATTTCTTCCATATATGTGTGATGCGTGGGTCCCATGATGTTATCCTTCGGTCCAAAGTTAGCCCGAAGTATCGAGATGGAATGAAGAACAGATCTCGCATCGATGTTTCTTCAGTTCTGAACTCACTCGGTGATGTCATTGGTGAGTTATGGGGTCATTCCAGGTCATTACTGTCGTCATTCAGAATGTTCTGGTTCATTCTGTAGAAGCTAAGTCTATAAGATTAATAATTCATAATGTCCTACCGTCATTTTGCAGATTTTATTTTTGTTTTTCATTAGATAGATAGATAGATAGATAGAAAAATAACTTTATTCTGGGACACAGTCCCTTGAGAATAACAAAATAGAACAAAATAAAAAGATTACATCTGGCCAAAATAAAATCAATCGAAAAAAAAAAGAAATAATGTAAAGAAAATATAAGGTAAACATTCTATATACAACAAACGAAACTATATACAAAACAATTAACACTATGACAAGACACTTAAAGCTATTTGCACTGATAGACCAGTATACATTCTTAAGAAAATAATAAAGAATTAAAAAATAAAAATGTATCAAATTCTCTATTAAAATCAGCTCGAATGGTTAGCAACTATCTGACTGTTTTTGGGATAGGAATTGGAATAGAAGGGTTTTGAATGTGAATATGGATGGGGAATGTCGAATTTTGATAGGGAGGGAATTCCAGAAATTGACAGAGCGAAGAATAAAGGAATTTTGGAATGAAGCAGATCTGTGAGAAGGTATGTAAAGGTTAGAACGTCGAGATCTTGTGGACAGGGAATGGACTGAGGACTTGTATTGGAGAAGGTTGTAGGCGTAAGAAGGACGATGGTTGTTGATGATTTGGTGGAGGAACGTACCTAGGAAATATTGTCTTCGGAAGGAGGGGAAAAGCCACTTTAACTCAGCGTGGTGGTGAGAAACATGGGAGTATCTTGGGGCCCCGATCACAAATCTTACGCAGCTGTTCATTAGTCTATCACGGAGCTCCACAGTATACATTAATGATAACTCGGAACCATTCTTCCTTTCCATCTCTATTGCTAAATTTTTCTGGCCAAGGACATCTTCCCCTTCATATTTAATAATTTCACGAGTTGGTGTGAAATTTTTTTCCAGTAATGTCTTAAAATTATGAGAATTTCGTAGGACACTGTTATGTTTCTTCTTTGAAACAAATATCTAATCTGAGGCTTTTTTCAATAAGTCGAATGGGATTAATGAGGGTTAGATAATGCTCTAAATAGATTATTAAGTATTGGTAAATATTAAAATATTTAGTCCTTTGAAATCTTGAATTTGATAAAACGGTCATTTTTTTAATACACACTATTATTATTCCCTATCATAGGCGGATCTATGGCGAGGGGAGGAGGCTTTTGAGCCGAAGCCTACCACAAAATGGTAAAATATAACCATGTTTTATGTAAATATATTAAAGAATCATCTTTTTATAGGACTTCAAGAATCACTTAAACGCCATTTCACATAGGTAGTTAGGATCTTTCTCCTTCTTTCAAAGTCAGTAATATATATATATATATTTTTTTTTTTTTTTAAAAAAAGCTTTCGGGCTGAAGCCTCCCAAAATTAAATCCTCGATCCACTAGTGCCTGTTATGAAAGGTCTTGGACAGTGGCGTAGGTATTTTATTTTTTTTTAATCCTCTTTTTTTTTATCCGCCTGTACCTTCTAAACATACAGAGCAATAAAAACAAATAGAAAGAAAATCGCATTAGTGATATTTACTTCACGTTCTTGCAGAATAATAGTCATATAATTATAAAGTTTAGTATGCACATATTTTTTCAGAATATTACAATTATATTTCCTTAATGTCCGAGCTTGAAATATGAAATTTACTTTTACATAAAAATAATATTAATCTAGCGATTGGTGAGGCGATTAATCGATAGATTAATTTTGCGTTCGATTTTTGGGCCCTTGCTAAAGGGCTATTAGTAAAGGAGACGCTTGCTAACGCAGTAACGATATAGTCTTGAAGTACGAATAATGGAACAACTGAAAAATGGTAGTTTTGTAACACTTCAATGGAAATGTTTGAAATTACTGGTCAATTTTTGGGTTCCTAATGATTTGAACAATTTCCAAATGTCGCACCATAAGGTTTTGCGTGGATTAACTACTCGAACTTCGGTGGTAAAAGCTGTATAAATTCTTCTACATTAGGTTTCAAATGGTGAAGAATTGGAATATTAGTCCGTGGTACAGAACTCTTTTTATGAAATTATTAACATCCG